TATCTGTCTCTTTTCTCCGTTATCACCAGGCTATGAGTCACGTAATTATAAAATGGAAAAACTACGACGGAAAAGTGACGAATCGAAAGTATCGTGAGCGCATATTATGATGTATGCATAGGCATACGTGGACTAGAGAGATAGAGGAAAGAGAAAGGAAAGAGCAAAGACGAGCGCTTAAAAAGGATAGGCAGAGTCAGACCCTCAGATGTGCGAGGATTCTCCAACGATAGGCATGTACAGTGTGTGTAATTATAAATTGTGAATACATGTGACTAATATTATTTTCTTTTTTATTTTGTGCATGTTACAAGTTATAAATAAATATAAACAAACAACACTAACCCCATAACATTTAATCTAAACACCAAAATGATTAATTTACTGTGTTTTTGTTATTTCTTACTCCTGTTTTTAGGTATTCGGTATTCAGCCGAATAGTGAAAAATAGGCCGAATACCGAATACAGTGGTACCTCGGGATACGAACGTCCCATCATACGAAATTTTCAGGATATGACATGAAATTTGAACATAATTTTGCTCCACGATACGAACAAAAACTCACCATATGACGTTACATTAGTTCGCAGCGCCATTTTTTATTCACTTCTGTTGGTCGGTCTCAGTCTGCGTGTTTGCTTCGTCGTGGAAGGATCTCGCTCGATAAAGGAAATCTCGAGGTATTATCAGAAAGTGACTGATTTTATTGAAAAGAAACATCCCGAAAAGGTTCACACTGGCTGTATTGCTGCTCGGAGTAATGATATTTGCCTAAGTAATTTTAGAAACATTTTAAAAAGTAGGCAAAGCCAAACCTCTTTGGATAGATATTTTACCAACAACCTCTATCCAGTGAAAGTGCTGGTGGAAGTGAAGAAAAGAAAACAAAAAGCAGTGAATAAAAAATTTAAAAAAGTATCAAACAGAAAAGATAAAAAAAATTAGTGTTAAGTTATTTTTAAGTTATTGTTGCATTATGTTATGTAAGTTAAGTTTTAGTATTATTTCCCTTCTCCCTCTCCTCTGCCACCAGTTTACACCTCCACCATCATCTATCCTCAAAGGTATAGTGCAAATAAAACTACGTACATTTTTTAATCAATTATTATTCTATTATGGTTATTTTTACATTTACAACTACAAAACGCATTTTTCAGTGTTTTCCTTACTATAGTTATTTTTTAATGTACTACTTAGCTTTAATTTGAGTGTGTTTTTCGTGTTGAAACGAATTATTTGGTTTTACATGTAATCGTATGGGAAAAAATGATTCACCTTACGACATTTTCATGATACGATCTCAGTTTCGGAACGAATTAATTTCGTATCCTGAGGTACCACTGTAGTAACCGAATATTCGTTACATCACTAGTTTAAACTTAATTAAAAACCTGATAATGGCCTATGATAGTATGTTGAAAACGTTAGTGAATAAAGAATTCTTTCAGCAAAAAGCTCAGGTGTAGTATTAAGATTGTTGTTGTTATTGAAACACACCACCTAACAGATACAAACAGGTTGATTCAAAACACGTGTTAATTTTGAATTTATCTTCGTTAAGCATTGAATATTTAAAACTTTAGTCAAGTAACAAAGTATTCAGTTTTCAATTAAACAAGAACACATTTAACTTTAATAATAACCTTAAACTTACATTCGTTAGATTGAAAAGAACATCCACGCCGAATGTTACGTTTAAAATTTCCGCATTTGTTAAAACTGTTCGATTTCATTATACACCACCTATCGGGTATTTTTAATACTATGACACACATCACCATAGGTTTTTATGGGAATTTGATTAATTCGTTCCGGAGACTCCAAAAAATAAAAAAATATATACTTTTTTTTACTACGTTTATTTATATGTAATAGTAAAAATACATATATATGCAGTCTTGCATTTTTATTAGTCATGTTTTTTCCGTTTGTGGGGGGTTAAAGAATATGTCCAATGTCGATTGTTTTTCTCTTTTCTTCAGGATTTTTCGGAAGTAATTAATAGTATTGTAATTGTAGAGATCCCTAATCCCATAAACTTTATTATGGTTTGGATGCCACTTGGATGATCGTTGTTCTGACATCCTCCCACTTCTTCAAAAGATCTTTAGTAGCGGATGTCGACATTGGTCCTCTTTCGCCTTCCTCTTTTTCAAAAGAAAACACATCTCGCTGAGTTTCTTGGCGTTGTTCATTTAAGAGTTCTTGGAGTTCTTCTGTCGTCAGATCAGTTTCAGGTACCATTATGAGCTCTAAAATCCTCTTTACAGTATTTCTCAGATGTGATTTTCATTACTCCATTAGCAGCTTGAGACTTCTTGATATATCTTTCATATCTAAAATTGTGCCTAGTGTAGACCCGTTCAAGCCATACTGCCTAGCGACATCAGATATCTTGCGCTCACTTTCTACCTTGGCTATTATCTCTTACTTGGTTTCTACGGTGAGCACAGTTCTTGACACTGCTCTTTTTAGGCTTCATAATATTTAAATAAAAAGTTCAGAAAAGCACTTACAAAAATTCAGAGAACAGAAATCAACTAGCCCACAAAAAATTATTTAAATAAAAGGCTCGAATGAAATTCGAAATTTGGAATTAAAACGTTAACGAATATCCGATGGGACAGTTAAACTTTCACCTTTCGTAAATAAACACCGACGCAAAACTTAACAAGTGCCCGTCCAACAGTCTCGCGAAGACTATAAAAAATTATTTATCAGAAAGGTAAACAAAAAGCTGGATTTACAAGGGAGAGTTTCAAAATTCAGAGGGATACTATCCGATCGGTATAGGGTTGAGCGTCGATGTTGACGTCTCCCGCGCTCCGAAAGGTTTCGAATTGTTACCTGAAGACAAGGGAAAATCAATCGGTATTCGTTATTTTCCGTCGCGTCTTTTATGTTTGTTCAGTAAAGTGTTCGTTATCCGATCATAAAAATTTTTCGCGAAAGTGTTCGTTATCCGATTTGTTCGTTAACCGATCACCCACTGTACTGTATACCAAAAATATAACAAACAGTATAAATATGTGAAATTGAACGAATTAAAATAAATAGAATAGAATAGAATAGAATAAACTACAATTATACTAACACAACAGAATATAATTCTGTATGAATTATATCGCCAGAGTGCACGTTACGTGTAAGATTTTACTGCGCTGTTTTTGAATACATATTACATTTATTTATATTTATATTTATTTATTACATTTGAATACATTTATGTATATATTTCCAGGCTGATGTTGTGGCATCTTTGTAATTTAAACATTTACCAGTAAGGCTAGATTTATATACAGTATTTCAAACTTTTCTAAAGTCATTGCTAAAGATGGTGAGCGCACCGACTTAACAATCCTAGCCTTTTTCCATTCAACCACCGAACCATCTGTTTGTGCTACTCTGGATAGTGCTGTAGAATAGTCCCCTTTGTTTACATCGTATATATGTTCCTGAAACCTCTTACTGAGGTTCTTTTTGGTGACACCTACATACACCTTCTTCAAACCTAATTGAATATTTTTATGTGAGGACCCAAACGGGGTCCGAAAGCAGGCCATTAACGACTTTTTAAATGANACAAAAAAAAAAAAACAAAAACAAAAACAAAAACAAAAACCAAAAAAAAAACACAAAGTTAAAAATGATCGAAACGCCGACTTTTTATTTGAGGATTCGGCATCCTTTAACATTAAAACAATGGTTACAATTTCTGACCATAACTACCATGTTCTTTAGCACAATATATAACTGGTTCAGGTCCTCTAGTGGCAATTTTGGGTAATCATAAAGTTCATTTGCATAACAGCATACATAATAACATGAACAACCCAGGATATTTTCAATTAAAAATTGAATTATGACTATTTACAAAAACTGTTACTTCTGTGCTGTTATGCAAATGAACTTTATGATTACCCAAAATCGCCACTAGAGGACCTGAACCAGTTATATATTGTGCTAAAGAACATGGTAGTTATAGTCAGAAATTGTAACCATTGTTTTAATGTTAAAGGATGCCAAATCCTCAAATAAAAGGTCGGCGTTTCGATCATTTTTAACTTTGTGTGTTTTTTGTTATAATTTATCACGTGTTCTGTGGAAGTTCATCCAAGCCAATATACTGTTACTTCTGTGGTGTGTTAAAAGGATGAAAGATAGACTCGAAAAATTAGAATTTTTTTGTAAATAGTCATAATTCAATTTTTAAGCCTAATAAAATTTTAATGAGTATTACATATTTACACATGTATGGTTTTTCCATGTTTAGATTGTTAACGGGTTTAATTATGTTTTACTGTGCAAGTTATTTGATTATAGTTAGCCACCAAGGAGCGCTTCATGTAACAGTTATGTTCTGTAGGTAATTTCAAAATCAGATGACCATTAGTTACTATTTTTCTTTTCTTTGACCTGGCAGCCATTTTTAATAAAGTTATTCTGTTTGGCAATCTCTGCTAATTAAGTCGTGAAAAATGCTTAAAGAAATTTTGGAAATTGAGAGATGAAATTTAAATTTTTATGCTAAATACGGAACCTGTTACCGGTGTAATTTTGCGTGAAAAATCTTCCTTTCACAAATGTTTTCGAGCTTTCCAGATAGCTCTTCTTCAGGTAGAGAAAAAATTCCGACAAAACACTTCGAAAAAAGTTTTTTTTTTAAGTGTTTTGTCGGAATTTTTTCTCTACCTGAAGAAGAGCTATCTGGAAAGCTCGAAAACGTTTGTGAAATAAGGATTTTTTCACGCAAAATTACACTGGTAACATGTTCTGTATTTAGTATTTCATCCCCGGTGTCAGAGTGAAGTTTAATTTACTTAAATTTTTATGAATAAAAATGACAGGAATGTTCCTAAATTATATGATGGACAGTGGCTTTTGGATTTATGTTTCCTTAAAATATCAGGATGAAATTAAACGAACTTAATACGCAGCTTTAAGGTGAACATACAAATTGATCAGACTTATCAAAATATAGAAGCATTCATAACAGAACTCAAACTTTATGAAAGTCAATTAAAATCAAAAACTACAATTTGTCGTCCAAAATTACATAAATTTAATAGTGACAAAAAAACATTTTTTAAATATGCACAAGAAATTACTAATTTACTAAGAGAATTTCAAGAAAGATTTTCATATTTAAAAATTTATGAAAATATATTTAATATTTTCTTATGTACATTTGACATTGTTGTGGAACAAGCTCCAACAAATTTGCAGATAGATTTGATAGATCTTCAGTCATCTCAATTGAAATATATGTTTGAAGCTAATAAGTTCAGTTTTATACAAAATATGCCTGTAATGATAAATTCCCTAACCTAAAAAACACAATGAGCATTACAGTTGCAATGGGAATCATCTATCTTTGCAAATCTTTTTTCTCAAAATTGAAGATTGTTAAATGTGAAAGTAGTAATAGATTGATTGATAAAAATTTTAAAAACTAACTACGTTGTACATCATCAAAAATACCTGTTGATATTAAAAAATTAAGTGAAAAATTGAAAAGCAAGTTTCATATTAAAATACGTACAAAATACTGTATAATTGTACATGTTTTGTTGTAAATAAATATGTGCAGCTCATAGTGTATTTTTATTTTGGTCCAGTAAAGAATTTCGGTTGGACAACACTGCTCTAAACAACACAGTATAACAACTATTTACATTTTATTATGTATTATAAGTAATTCAGAATGATTTTAAAGTATACAGGAGAATGTGCATAGATTATATGTAAATATTATGCCATTTTATACTGTATTTTTGGGGAAGTCCAGCATGTTGGTTTTTCCAGGAGACCACAAAATCAGATATTTCCATATGGTAAAAATCAGCATGTCGGTTTATCCCAAAGGAAAGCCAACATGCCATTTTGAGTGAGGTTATACATTCCTCTCTAGAGGGTTCATTAAAAAAACTAATGCATTTTTATTCTAAAACTGCAAAACTGTCAGCATATCAAAAACTAAGAATATATGTTTAATTTCTTCATTTTTCTTCTTTCTAACAATGTAAAATACTCATGGAATGACGAAAGTGCTTTTTTTACGTTTATTTTACTGTAATTTGATTTAAAAATACAAAAATAAACACATTAAATTTCAGAAATTGGCAGTAAATTATCTCAATTTTCACCAATTAATGTTCACATTGTGTAAAATTTGAGAGGAAGGTATTATTTTTAAGGTCAGGGTAAATGGTGAGTGCCAGCCCACACTAACTAACTTCTACTACTACTAATGTCAATAAGCCATTAATTGTTTTATTGTCTTGTAAATGAAAACTCTCTTCCTGATTTAAATTTTATCAGATTATAATGTTGTTATTATTTTATTGTAATCAGAAGAATGTTTTCTTTTAACATCTAATTAATAACTAATTTTATTAGATCTGATTAATTTTACTTCTTAGTTGCAGTTTAACAGGCATGCCGGTAACTACAGGGTTTCAAGCACACTGGTCTACCCTGTGCATTATATATGCAGCATTCTAGTCATTAGACAAAAATATAGTATAAGACACTCAAACATCTGAAGGTTTTAATATCCATGAGGTCCTAGACCCAATTCACTGTAGATATCAACTGTAAAACTAGTTATGATCAAGGGTTTACATTTGCTTATAATTTTATATATTGATACATAAATACAAAAATATAAACTTTCATCATTCAGAACACTGATTAAAAGAGCCCATTTCTATTGTTCAAATATACAGGGCCACTTAAAAGA